CAAGATTGAACGATCAGGTGCGGTAGTTGCTAGATAGCTGTTCTGTGACTTATGCGTTGAAGTTCGTCTCAATATCGTTAAATTTTTTAACAATATTATGGTGTACTCACTTGCAGAAAAAGTGGAAATAATCGAATTTATTTTAAAAATAATGAATGTGGCAATCGGGTTGCGCAGATATTCAATGAACGCCATCCTGACAACCACCTTTATGGCAAAATTGTTCGCGAGTTAGTAGCAAAGTGTCCAAAGGATATTAAAAAAACGGAAGTTCCACCCGTACAAAATTCAATTGGTATAAGAACTCAACGAAGACGATTTTGATCGTCGCTTGCAATTTTGTTTAACTATGAGTGAACGAGTGACGAATGATAATAATTTTCTATTTAATATGTGTTTTTTGGATGAGTGTACTTTCTTTTTGAACGGTGTAGTTAATCGGCACAACTGGTCGGTACTGGGCTGAAGACAACCCCAGGGTTTTTCACGAGGTGCACACACAAAACCCTCATAAATTGAGTCAGTTTAACGATATTGAGAAGAACTTCAACGCACAAGTCACAGAACAGCTATCTAGCAACTACCGCACCTGATAGTTCAACCTTGTGGCAAGTGAAAACATCTAGAAATAATAAGAAAAAACCTCAAATTGGTCGAAAGAATTTATCCTTATCCTTTACTCTACTAAATGTTTCAATAAACTTTTCAAATTTCAATCCTTCATATTTTCTCAATGACTCGACGGATTTTCAAAAACGAGGCGGGGAAATATAAAGAATAGAAAGGTCTTTTCATTGCGGTGCCACTTGACCCCCTTTTCCATTTGAAAAAAGTTGGGGGATGACACCCCCGCTTAGAGGGTTGAAGATTTCGCAATCATTTTTGGGGCAAAAGTTGTCCCCCTCACAAACAAAATTGACGTGTTTTTGGATTTTTTGAAAAAAAGAATACCCTGGCCGTTATGCCTTGCGGAACGTTTTCGATGGGCCACCCTGTATAGGTACGGCGGCGAACGTGAACGCGTTGGTGTGTGCTAGAATGATCGCTCATGTTATCGCTGCCCTGATCGTGATCGTGATCGCGGCCGTGATCGCACCAGTGTGCGTGTAGCTTAAGCAGGATCGTGATTAATCAATGACAGGTTTTTCGAAATACCCTGTATACATTTTTAAAAAATCTTAAAATATATAAAGAAACAAAATAAAATATACGTGTTTAAGCGTTTTTTCGGAAACTTGACCGTTTTTTTAATAAAAAATATTGTAATATTTGATGGGTGGTTTCACCCCCTTGGAACAGGAATTTCGAAAAATCCCTTCTTATCGAACCTCTACACCGTAGAATCAACCTGTATGCCAAAATTGAGCTTTTTACGTTGAGTAGTTTGAGGAGGATCGTGATTAATCAGTGAGTCAGTCACTTAAGGATTTTATATATTAGTATAGATTTGATTAAAACCCTTTAAATAAATAAAATCCCTTCAAATAAGATATGAAATTACCGAATTTAACTTAACTTAAAAAATATCTGGTAACGCTCCACGGTCTGGTACGTAATGACTTAAGATAATTGACTCTTTTTTTATCCCATTTTATTTATAAACCAATTAGAGATTTGGAATACCATGAACGAGCGTTAACCTTTTAAGAAGAAGTAAAAACTAGACGCGTAGTCTGTCTACGGGAATACCCAGCCACGCAAAAAAGACTTAAAACTGTATCAAATATTAAGTAATATTTTACGATATTTGACGGAAAATCCAAAACTTAGAAAGTATAGAATATCGGTGTTAGATTTAATTATTTTTTTCTTGTTTGAACACTCAACCAAAATTGTTTTTAATTTTCAATGTACGTCATGAAAATTTGATGTTTTATTTAACATTCGTGTAAAAGAAACAGTTTTTGAAGAATATGAAGTGATTAAAAATTATAGTATTCTATTTGAACAACTACAGCTTATTGTAATATAGGTTTTACCATTGCCCACATATTCTATATTAATAAGATTCTTGAAGAATTTTGTCACATTTTCATTCGTCATTTTTGGGACGTGATTGACAATATAAAAAAAATCCTTTTAATTTTAACGCCTGGGCATAAAATTAAAGTATTTTTACGCCTAAGCATAAAAGTACGAAAATATATTATTAAACTGACATAAAGTGTCAAATTAAACGAGCGTAACCATAGCCAAGATATCTGACCATAGTTTCTCGATATATTATTACATAGAAGGTATGATTAAATCTTTTTATATTATTTGAAACGTTTGAAATTGTTTAAAAACTTATCTGTGGCGTTTGTTTGAAAAAATATCACGTTCTATTCGGAGTAAAATTACTTTTTGTGCCTCGGCTGTATGTCAAAAGTACAGCTTCGCCACAAAAAGTGCCATTTTTGCTCCTAGTAAAACAATATACCGTTTGATCGAAAAAAAAACGGCATCAGCGTTTGCTATGAAATGAAGATCGCTGTCATTTTATATGTAAATTTATTTGGTAAGTGTAAGTAAGTAATTTATATGGTAAGTGTAATCGATCGTTATTTCCCAGCCAACTGGACGCCGTTTTTTTTTCGATCATACGGTACTATTTGCATTGAAATATAAATTATTGATTATTTTGTTGGAATAATAGGTATACTAAAAATTCCGAATTTTTCTTGTCTACAAGTCGGTTCCGGTGTTTGTGGTTTTTCCCTAACGTGTCCACAGGAAATGGACTTTCCATTTTCCCTTTCATAGCTTGGAATATTTACACCAGTAGGGAAAAATCCCCAGATTATAGATTACCATTGGAAAAAACATACTTATCAACCTTAAATTTAACGATAAAGGTATTTTTCGTTTTACCGGTGGATTTCAAAAATTATTTTTTAATTATTTAAGTTCAATAAATACGATAGAAAAAACAGCGTCATAGTAGTCTTTCAAACGACAATTGGTGATAATTTATGTTGGGTCAACCGCTATTACTGCAGGATCCGGCTGCATGATTATTAGGCTCATCGTATTTTTAATCAAAACCTATTTTTTACGTATATTTATGAATAATAATGAATACACTTTTTACAAGGTGCCTAAATTTTAAATTTCGATAACAGCTACCTAAATTTTAGTTAACCTTGTATAGCCTGATATTTAATTACAGTTGTATGTTTAAAGCAAATTGAAATTTGACCCGAAAAGTTATACAGGGTGAGACAAAATTAATATGGAACATTAGTCACTTTTAAAAGCAACTTACTCCTTTATTTTAAATGAAACACCCAGTATATTATTCCGGTGCTCAATGGGGAATTTATATATGTTCAAAATATTATTAAAGTTACCTACCCCTCAGACAAAGATTTTCTTAGATATTTTAATTTTTATGATTTGCGCGGCTGTGTGATATACAGTACGTCTGCTGGATCTGTGTCCATGAAAGGAATGCGGACAAAAAACATTTAAATAAACAGCAATATATTTTATACCTCGATTTGACGAGTACGTCACCGCAAATCGCTCCGCCTATTGGCTACTTTCAAATTTGTCGAATTTTTATTGATGGGACGCGTCGTCTAATTTTTTACGAGAAACATCGAGAGAATATCGTTTCCCCTCTCACGGATACCCCGTAGCTACAGAACGGACAGACGTACTGTACCTATTGTTAAATTGACAAAAATTAAAGATTGTGGAGTAAAATACCCAACGGTAATAAAAATTACACGTTTAAAACATATTTTAATTATTACAGAATTAAAACTAGATATAAACCTATAATTATGTGACAAAAATTATCTATAGATGAAATCAAATGCTCAAAATGCTTCTTTCCTGTTAACTGCATAAAATGATTGTCTTTTTAAAAGAATTTGTTCATTTTAAAAGGCATTATGTGGAGTTTTACCTCCAAAAGCAGCTACAATAATTTCTCTCATGTTGTCGACAAATAGTTGGTCGAGTTTTGTAAACACTGCCTTTAACATATCCCCATAAAAAAAAACAGACTAGATAAAATCAGGAGCATTTATTTGGTTGCACACTGCATTCATCAACTAATAGAATCATATCAATTCTCTCTGATGTAGGATAAGTTTGCATTTCGGCAAATTTCTGAGAATTTTTTTTGTTTTAACTGACACAAAATGATAACTAGTTGTTAAAGTTGGACTAATTAGACAGCTATGTTGAAGTAACGTCAGACCCATATCATAGCCACCTAGATTTTATGAAATAATAAACATCTACTCAAATCAAATTATGTAAATAAAAATATCTAGGAAAATCTTTGTATGAAAGGTAGGCAACCTAAATAGTATTTTGGAGAGACATGAATTCTCCATTGAAAATCGAAATAGTATACTGGGTGTTCCATTTAAAATAAAAGAGTAACATGCTTTTAAAGGTGACCAATGTTCAATATTAATTTTGTCTCACCCTGCATAACTTTTTGGATCAAGTTTTAATTTGATTTAAAGTACAATTTAGTTAATTTAACTACATGTTAGGCTATACCGGATAAATTCCAATTTAGCTAACTTTTATTGTAATTTAAAAATTGTTCTTTATTTTTAGAAAATGTTAATAAGTATGTCAAAACCCTTACATTTTAGTCATATACTTCTCTTATAAAACTTACCTTTATTTCTCTCTTAGAATCCGAAAATCAATTAATAAATTGGGTGTTTCTTTACAAAAAACACAAGTTTGATGTGTAACTTTTTTGGAGACACTCTGTAGAACTCTATATTTTTAAAAAGTGCTCCGAATTAACCTACATATACCCACAAAATTTCATTTCAATACAAACTGTCGTTCTCCTTGGTGCCTCCGCGGAGTATGAGAGGCGCCACCCTGTATAATATAATCAAAAAGTTGTATGATCAAGCGTTGCTTTGTATACTGTAAAGTTGTCTTTATTGTTAATAGAAAATTATTATTAAAATAGGAAAACACATAATTTACATAGAAAATTATTTTTAACCCAAATATTTTTTTTTTTATAATTTCAGAGATTGCCAACAACACCCGAACAAACCTGCAGAAGTTGTTTTACAAGCTTGTACCTCTTTAAAGACCGACTGAAAAAGTTCCTGGACAAAAGAAAACAGGATAAAATCAAGGAGGAAATGGATGAGATGAATCATGGATACCAATGTCCATGTGTCCAGTGTCGAGAAACATATGGATATTTGTCTTTGTTAGTGAGAGGCATTGAGCAACAGGACGAAAGCAACCAGCGCACTCCTGATCCGAGTAGTTATCAACTGTCATCTTCTATTACATCAGGTATGGACGAATATACATTCCAGCAAGCTATTTCTTCAGAGTCTTCTACTCATCAGTACCAGCAACAACCACCAGTGCCAATGCAATACGAACAACAACCAAAGACTGAAACATACGTACCAGATTGTAGTTACCAGAAATCTCAATATTTTAGTACGATACCTGAACAACATTTACCTCAAACTCAGTATTCTATGCTACCTAAGACTGTTCAGTACTTAAGCCCTACTACTACTCAAAGTCAGTTTCAATGTTCAAGCCTCGATGAAGCTAACATGTCGTACGATATGAGCTACATGTCATCTTCAAGTACCTTTGCCACATCGTCTCATCAAAGTACTGAAACAGTCGCTGCATCTGTGATAGGTGAAGAAGAAGAGGACAACAAAGCTTTGATACCAGAATTTTTAGCGGATATAGAAGCTATGAGTTTGGAAGCTCAAAATCAACCGTCTACTTCTGGACTAGGTCAGAGTCATGATCGAGTTGAGGAGACGAGACATTCAGGAAGAATCATGGTGTGTTGTCATTGCAAAAAAAGGTTTACACACAAAGGAGATTATAACAAGCATTTGAGGAAACATACTAAGGAGAAGCCGTACAAGTGTTCGGTTTGTCAAAAGTTTTTTTCGAACACTTCGAACTTGCACAGGCATCAAAGAACGCATAACGGTGATAAGCCGTTTCAGTGTGAATTTTGTGATAGACGGTTTAACAGACGAGATAAATTACTTAGTCATAGGAAAAGTAGATTTTGTAAGAACAGAAGACGGTCAAATTAAACTATTTTATATTTTTTTATTGTCTTTTTTGTTTATAATTATCCTTTTCATATACAGGGTGGTCCGAACTGTATTCCGGAAACTTCGGCAGCATATTCTACAGATAAAAATAAGTAAAAAAGTTTGTATAAATGTATGTCCTAAAATGGCTTAGTTTCGGAGAAACAGGGTGTAGGAGTTTCATTTTTATTTCGATTTTTTACAAATAATTTATGAAGCAACGTCAACATTTGGATGAAACTTGGTGTCTGGGATTTTTTTGACATGATAAATTTGACTTTGATGTCAATATGACTCCTACTTGTAGAGGGTGCCTCTCAATATTAAATATAGAATATAATAATTTAATATTAACTTTTGCTCTACGGTTGCGTTGTGAGTCAACGATAAAGTGCATTATCTCATTTGTTTCAAAGTTTACAAAAAAATGTTAAATATAAATGTTATAGGGAAGGTTAAGATACACATCTTAAATTATTACGGAGCATACAGAGTGCTTCAAAAATGTGTGGCAGATATGAAATATATTTTTTTTTAAATGCAACACCCTATTTTTATTTTATTTTTAGATTCTGCGTAACATTCTATAACTTTTTTATGTGTAATGTTATATACCTAAAATTAATAGTTTCTGTAATTTTTATATTTGTTTAAACAAATGTTACATTTCAGTGTGGTAAAAATTTGTCAGTGATGCCACTGTTTCTGCAGGTAGACTACTAAAATTTGGTAAGAGAGTTTTATAGAGATGTAGAAAGAGATACGTGAAAAGATATTTAAGTTAGTTGTTACAGGGTGTTCAAAATATATTTATTAATTTCAACTATTTAAAATGAAAAAATCTCAAATTTTAAGTAGTTGATATTCATAAATATATTTTGAACACTCTGTAGCATCTAACTAAAATATCTTTACATATATCTTTTTTTTTTCATCTCTATAAAACTCTTTTACCAAATTTTAGTAGTCTGAACTTGAGAAACAATGGCATCACTGACAATTTTTTACCACACTTAAATCTAACATTTGTTTAAACAGATTCAAATATTACAAAAACTATTGATTTTAGGTATATAACATTATATGTAAAAAAGTTATAGAATTTTACGCAGAATCTAGAAATAACATTAAAAATGGGGTATTGCATTTAAAAAAAATATATGTTATATCCGCCACACTTTTTTCAAGCACTCTGTATACTCCGTAATAATTTTAAAATGTGTATCTTAACCTACCCTATAAATTTTATATTTAACATTTTTTTGTAAGCCTCGAAACAAAAGAGATAATAGACTTTACTCTATCGTTGACTCACCCTGTACAGTAGGTGTGTTTATTTAGTTGCCTGTACGTAAAAAAATGTGTTTGTTATTTATCACTCTGAACTCCAGCTGAGTAGTGAGTTCACTAAAATTAATCTGTGCAACATATTTGACGTATTGGGAAATCTAACCTTATTTTTTTGTAAATTATAAAATTCTTACCAAGATTCTTACTGTAAGATTCTTATGATATGATTATTATTTAAAACAATGAAACTAGACAAAATATGCCGAACTTGCTTACAGGAAAAACAAGATTTGAAGTCCATATTTGATGCATACATTCCAAATATGATAATGGCACTTACAACTGTACAGGTTAGTGACCTATTTCATGTTGTTTACAAATTTATTTTGTGTTTTCTTTTAAAATAACTTGATATATTAACTATTTAAGGTAGTGCAAGGGGACGGACTACCCCATCAAATATGCACACAGTGTCTTAGAGATGTCAGTAAAGCATATGCATTTAGACAAAAATGTGAAAAGTCTGATACCACTGTACGGAATTATATTAACATTAATAGTTTAAATACAAACTTGAGTCAGCTCTGTGATCTTCCTGTCCATAATAATTTTGGAAATGATACCTTAATGCCTACCTGCAATAATGATAATAATATTTTAAACAATCAAGTATTGCCTAATTATAATACTTTATCTAATGGAAGTTTATTATCGAATAGTGCATTAAATAATAGCAGTAATATGATTGGATTTCCTAATCCAGTTAATACGTTAGATAATAATTTATCTCAAAACCATCTGAATAACATCGAAAACAATTTTATGGGAAATATTAACGAAGTTAGGAATGATTTTTTTGGAAATGGAGACATGTTGCAGCAAAGTTCTTTTTTTCAAGATATATTCAGTGACCCGACTAGTGAATCTTTTGTAGAAAATTTTACTAATAGTCAAAATAATGCAGGTATAGTATATGTTTTATTTAAATGTATATTTTTTTATCAAAAATTTATTTAGTTGTACCAGATTTTGTTGAGACAATGCAGAGTTTACAAACGATTGCTGAGCAGTGTTTACCTGAATCATGGGAAAATGAAAATCAGTCTTGTCAAATAGGTAATCAAGAAACAGCAAACAATTTTGATTTAGTAGACGATTTATTTAAGTGCCAGTTTTGTGAAAATATTTATAAAGGTAAAAAATAAGTGTAATAGAGTTTAAAGTTTAACAAATTTAAGTTAATATGTTTTTAGATGCGTGGTCGTTAGACGATCATATAAAAAATCAAAACTGTCAAGACAAATATTTTTGTTCCAACATTACCAACGAATTAACGAAAAGTATGTTATTAGAATATACCTTTGATACCAATTCTAAAGATAATCTTATGTTTGAAAATATTGAGCCTAAGTACCAGAATTTACTATGTGATGTAAGTAATATAACTTTAGTTATACAGGGAGTTTCCATATTTCGTGGAAATAGAACAAGTACGTATATTTTGAATCAAAATAAGTTGATTGCAAGCTGTTGCTAGAATTTTCTAGTAATTTTGATTCTGTTTTTTAAACATTGTGAATGATCGTAAACTAACAAGTTTAAAGTGTAATTGAAACCACTAATTTATTCCACTAATTGGGAGGTTCTGAATGAAGCTTACGTCCACGGAATTTTGAAACACCCTATATAAATTGGATTTTGAACTAAAATGATATAATATTTATGTTTGTAGGTATGTGATAGAACATTTACTGAACAAAAATATCTGAAAAAACATTTAAAAGATATACATTTTATTGATACAGCTTGTATACATGATGAGAAAAAGCATAGCTGCACAATTTGCTTTAAAAGGTTAACAAAACAATTAATTTTATTTAATTTTTAATTGATATATTTTTCAGATTTAGACAATATAAAGTTCTCTTATTACATATGCGTTCACATACGGGTGAAAGGCCTCTAAAATGTGATATATGTTTAAAAACTTTTGCTTTGCCAAGTAGTTTAAGGATCCATAAGCAGGTTCATGCACAAGAGAAACAGTACGGATGTCACATTTGTCCGAAAAAGTTTAAGTTAAAACCTACTTTAAATAGCCATATTTTAACACATTCAGGTATAGTATGTCAGTGTGTAATTATTAAAAAATAGCATACACAGGGTGGCCCAGTGAATCAACTCATACATTTTTTTAGGAGAGAGACCTCATATCTGTCAAAATTGCGGTAAAAGTTTTGCCACATTTACAAATTTAAAAATCCACAAGAGATTGCATACAGGAGTGAAGCCTTTCTTTTGTACATTCTGCAGTAAATCATATAATTGTAAGTTATTACTTTAGTGCACTAAAATGCAATTACTTTTTTCTTTGTAATCCAGTTTTTTACTATATTTAAACTTATTAGTTTCTATTCAAGTCAATTTTTTAAGTTCAATTATTCACGATATTAAAATATACTTCAAACTGGCACCAAAAATTTTGACGTCACTTATGAGCAGTTAAGGGCATAAACAACAGAGGGCGTCACTAAAGAATAATATTCTAGCGTACTTAATGCTGTGTTGCCGTAATTTTACTTTGTCTGTTCGATTCACATTGATTTTTTTAATATTATTAAATTCCTTAAAATATTAGGATTTATTATGTCATAAAGTAATGTGACTGCAGCATTATCCCTGTTTTAATATTTGCCCTTGCTAAAATTATAAATTTTTAATTTATATATTCTCTTTGTAGTTGGGCCTATTGTTGTTTCTTGTTGGCTATACTGCTAATTTCCTAATATCATGGTCCCATCTCAGGTTCGGTCTTCTTCTAGGTCTCCTAATTCCTCGTGGGTACCATACTGTAATGTTTGTGGTCCATCTGTTGTAACTCCTTCTTGCCAGGTGTCCTGCCCATTGCCATTTGAGGGATTTGACTCTGTGGATGACATCTATTACCTGGGTCTTCTGTCGTATATACTCTATTCCCCCTTTTACGGTCTCTCTTGGTTATTCCCAGCATATTTCGTTCCACTGAGCGTTGTGCCATCTGCAGTTTCATTATGATGTCCCTTTAAGTGTCCAGGTTTCGCATGCATAGGTTATGACTGGTATAGTCTGTCCAATGACAAGATCCTTGACAGTGATAGATGTGTCTGTCATTTTAATTACAAATTAGTTTGTTATTTATTATTTTTTTTTTACATTTTATTTTACACAGAAATAAGTTGGTACAATTGGAAAGCATAGCAGGAACTTAATATATTTAAAATTTGACTAACAAGTGATTACTTCAAAATATTGTGAAAAAAAAAACTGTATGAAACTGAAAAAATGTAATCGAGTTATTTTATTTAAAAAAAACGGTATGTGTTAATACCTTTGAATAAGAAGACTAAGGAAGGAGCATATCAAAAATCTTAGGTACACCGCGATGGGCCTCAAATATGGCCGACTTAAATTCCGGTTTATCAGTGTCGTTATAATTTTATTTAAGAAATGTAAAACTATGATGTAGGGTAGACGTGGGGTAGACTCAATAATGTGTTGTTTTATTTTACGTTGTGAATAAATGTTGGTAGTTATTAAAATTGTTATAAAAATATATAATTCTAATAAAAATAGATAAGTTATAATAAGTATTTATTAACACAAACATCCGATACGCTACTGAAGCAGGTAAGTCAAATCAACGTATCTAAATTCTTTGACATCTAATATTTGACAAGTAATAAATAAAAGCTAAAATGCAAGAAAAATATATAATTTAGTTAATTTAAGTGAATTTCATAAATGATCGGTTTACTACACGTATGTATATTATATAGTCACTTACTAGCGAAAAGTTGTTCCATTATTTCACTCAATTTTTGCCGAGATCTACCGCACGCTACACAACCAACTATTTTAGAGTCTATTTCGATAAATCGCGATAGTGTCACTGTTAATTTAAGTTCTGCCACAATTCCCATCTAGATTTACTACCTTTATACAACTATCAGTAGTAGAATAAATAATAAATAACATAAAATAAGCTCCGTAAAGACTGACAAATCCACAAAATTTCAAATCAAATTCAAATGTGTCAAATGAATCGTCAAACAGAATTGTCGAGGATCCCCACCCTAGAGTGCTTTTTCCGCCCACCATGCATGAATACATGGATAGCATTATGCTCCTTCCTTAGTCTTCTTATTCAAAGGTTAATACAAAACTAACAAGAACAAAACACCACATACCCAAAAAATATAAAAAAGAAGTATTTCTTACTTTCAAGCTTCAAGAAACTTCCCGAATTTATTATTATATTTATCAATATAAGTTATGTACAAATACAAATATGTAATATTCCACAGGAATAAATAAAACAACATATAAATAAAACAAACTATTTTATTAATAATAACACTTACAAAATTTTATACCTTAAAGGTTGATTAATTAACTTTAATCTTAATTTTTTTTAAACCAGTACCTTTTGATATTATTTTCCTGCAGTACTAAAATGCATTATTTAACCTCAATCAAACCTATCGTGTGATGTCGATATTTTACAGCTACTCCAGTTTTTAGTATATATTTAGTACAATCCATACTATATACGAGATGCACTTATCTACGATGAGATGGTGTAGAAACTTTATTGATGGTAACTTCATTGGTTTATAAGACTTTCTGCCTGGGCAGCGAGTATTAACTATAAACTGTGCTCTGGGGCTACAGTTAATTTTCCCTGGATTTTTCCTCCACTTGACTTCAAAAGACACAAAACACACGTAATAACACGAATCAAAATGCATCATCTTCCAAAACCCAGGGTATTTGACATAAGTTGACACAAAATTATAACCTATAATTTGGCATGCCTTTGACAAGCCTCAAAAATCTAAAGGCGAGTTCATACGCATCGGCGTCCGTTTGTCGTTCATCGTTCCGTCAAACCAATAAAATTGAAATATGATCTGTTAGAATGTCTTTTCTTTCCACTAGTTCATTGTATATTACTTTTGTTTTTGCTAAATTCATTTTGAGACTCACTTTATTGCTGACTGTATTTAGTTCGTTAATTTGTGCTTGTAGTTTTTCAGGACCATTGGCAATTAGAACTATGTCATCAGTGAATCTTAGTATATGTAAATAATATGTAAATCTTAGTATATAGGAAAATATGTTATTCTCTACTTAGCGCGGAGCATTAACCAGCTAACCCTGTTAAAACGTTTTTGCACTCTGATGATAAGGCTTTTTTCATGAGTGACGTCAAGATTCTTTATTGAAAATAATGAGAATACGCATGTTAAAACGTCGGATTTTAGCTAGTACACAATTAAAAAAGCACAACAGGATCCACACAGGAGAAAAGCCTTATACATGTTGGATTTGTGGAGAGGGCTTTAGAAGAAAAGAAACAAGGGATACTCATGCTAGGTATCATACAGGCGAAAGGCCGTACAGTTGCAAGATTTGCCAGAAAAAGTATATAGCAGCTAGCCATTTAAGGGTAAGCTATCTTACAGGATGATACAGTGTTTTTAAAACCCGGCATTAGTCGTTAGATTTAAAATCAAATGATTGGTCGGGCGTGAGCATTTTGCACATTCGTTAAAGTAAAAAAAATATCATGAATTGTTTTATATTTTTGTTTTATTTATCTATAGATTAATTCATTTTTTATATTATTTGACCCGTGATATTAACAGAGTTTATTTGGATTTCCGATGATATTTTAGATTTGTCGTCTTTTTGAAAGTTTGTTTTTGTAATGTATTCAGTGGATAAATAGACATTATGACTAATAAATGTGAAACTGTCTCCATTAGGAAAACAGTCTTATCCTTAAAACAACTCCACAGTACTACAAATATGAAAACCTTTGAAGTATGTTCCATATTTTCAAAAAAAACAAGATTTATGTTACTTAAAATCGTTTTTTAAACCGACGTTTATTCAGCGATATCTGGTGATATATATATTTGTTTATTTAATCACTTTATACCCATTATTAGGTAATTTTCCTTCGAAAATGTTTTTTTAAAGTAATTAATATACTAAAAATACAATATATACTAAAAATACAATATACTAAAAATACTAATATAGTAAATATTACAATATTATTTTCTCTATTTTATACAGGGTTATTCACCGCATACGACACGGAGTATTGTAGCTAAACGATTAAATTTTAACAAATTGTAACGTTTGGGCTCGTTGAAGGATTATTAGAGCTACAATTTGAAAATATTTTTACCAGATACAGAGTGTCCCAAATAAGTAAAAAATATTATAGTTATATTTTTTTAAATAGAACACTATATATTATTCTATTTTTAGATTCTAGGATGAATAAAGGTAAATTTGATTAAGCACACTTAAACCTTACCGTTTTTGAAATATTTGCAATTTTATGAAATTGCAGTAAAAATGTTAAGGCTTCATTTCTCCAAAGGTTTTAAAGTTTTTAAATATTTACTGAAGTTTATTTATTGATCAGATATTGTGTTGCAATAATAAACAAAATACTACCTTATACAGAGTGTCTAAAATTTATATTAAATAATTAGTAGCTTTAAACAGCAATAACTTGTTTAATTTAAAAGGAACACCTTGTATATTTTACGAGAATCAGATGCAGAATTAAATTATCTATCAAATTGAATTATACCATTTTTTACCTATGTTTTCAAGTTTTCCCAGAAAATGCATTTTCTTATAATTTAGACCTCATTTATCACTATACCCACGGAATATTGACATTTTAGATTATTTTTAAAGATGTAACAAATTTTACATATACTAATATTGTCGATATAGCTCGCTTATTTCATTAAAAATAAAAAAAAATGTTTACAATATGTTTAAATATTTTTTGTTAAAGAGGACAAATTGATATGATCAGTATTCAAACTACATTAATTGACTGTTTACGTTGATTAATAATAATTGCTCCAAATACTAAAAAACTGAATCTTGTATGTGTATTAGACAGTGTGGTAAAATGTAACACCTTATAAATTTTATTTCATTTTTTGACGAATGCTGATTTATAACAACAAAGACGTTCATTTTCATAACTTATTAGATTTATTTCTTCAAATCCACATTTATTTAGAATAATTTTATAAGTAAAAAATAAATTAAGTATGTAATTAACTATTTTTGGACGGAAATAATGGCGGAATATTTAATTGGTATACTCTTTTAGATTTAAATAGTTTTCTTTTTGTAAACAAATAGGCGTGCAATTATTATTTTTACCACCTGTACATTTTGTATACAGAGAAGACCAGGCTACTAGTAACATAGCAAGTTGCCGGACGAATTTACGTTTACCAATTTTGCGTTCGTACTCGAGAGTCACTGCCGGCTAGTCGGCTGGTCAGGCAGTACGCAGTTGCTGTTGTGCTTGGACGGGTCGGTCGTGACAGACTAGGAATATGACGCGAGGAGTGCCGTGTATTTATTATATTCATTTTAAGTGTTTACCTTCACTTAAGGTAACATTTAAAATAAAAATACTTAAATATTTATCAACATATCAACATTATCAACAACAAATCAAACATATTAGGGCTAATAGTTTGGAAAGCCTCTCGTATTTTTACTTGAAACTCATCCAGATTATTAGCCCTATTATGACCATACACTTTGGATTTTACATAACCCCACAAAAAGAAATCATTGGGAGAAAGGATCTGGTGATCTAGCGGGCCACAAAATAGTTCCATATCCACTAATTAAATGGTTGGGAAAAGTATTGTTCAAATATTCTTAAACAATACGGGCATTGTGGGCAGGGCAACCACCTCAGCAATTTGATTACTTGAAAACGTGGGATTTTGATCGGCGGTAGCACAAACGAACACTTGCTTTAACTCCTGTTCTTCATTAATCAACACATCAGGCTTTTTGTGTTTTTGTGGGGACACGCACCCATGTGTTTCAAAATTATTAATAACTCTTGATATAGTAGATAAAGATGGAATTGGCCTGTTTACAAAAGTTTGTGGAAAAATTGTTTGTATATCCCAATAAGACCTATTTTGGAAATACCATTTTACAATTTGAATTTTCTCACGAACTTCATAAACATCCATTATTTTACTTAAAAATAAATTTTACACGAAAACTGTCGCGAGAATCTACGTATTCGTTTTGGCTTTTAAAACACGAATAAATACAAATTCTGAAACATTCTTATCACATATCGACCTATTTTTATTTTATCGCATTTTTTCGCCTGCTTTTTATCCTGCGGACGGGTATACGCTAATTCGTCCGGTTCTGCCTATGTTACTACTACGGTGGTCCGGTCTGTATATTATGTTGCTTTAAAAAAATCTACATTGTCAATATTCCATGGGTATTGTAATAAATGATGTCTAAATTATAAGAAAATGCATTTTCTAGGAAAACTTGAAGAGATAGGTAAAAAACGGTAAAATACAATTTGATAGACAATTTAATTCTGCATCTGACTCACGTAAAATATACGGAGTGTCCCATTTAAATTAAACAAGTTATTGCCGTTTAAAGCTAGTAATTATTTAATATAAATTTTTGGACACTCTGTATAAGGTAGTATAATTTTTATTATTGCAACACAATATCGGATCAATAAATAATCTTCAGTAAATATTTAGTTTTAAAAACTTTGACACCCTTGGAGAAAATACATTTTTTACTGCAATTTCACAAAATGGAAAATATTTCAAAAACGGTAAAATTTAAGTGTGATAAACCTTAATCAAATTTACCTTTATTTCAATCCTAGAATCTAAAAATAGAATAATATACAGGGTGTTCCATTTAAAAAAAAATACAACTATAATATTTTTTACTTATTTCGAACACTCTGTATCTTATAAAATTATTTTTAAATTGTAGCTCTAATAGTCCTTTAACGAACCCAAAACTTACAATTTGTAAAAATCTAATCGTTTAGCTAGAATACTCCATGTCGTATGTGGTGAACAACCCTGTATATTTCTATATTTTCGGTTTTATATATTTCCCGGTTTAAAAGTTAATTTATTTCGTAAAAATGACATATATACAAAAGAAAGACAGACGAGTTGTCAGTCAGTCTCAAAGACAAAGGCAATCAGATAGTCGAATGTCTTTTCTTCAAAAATGAAGCGAATTTACTTATCCACGAAGTTTATAAGATCTAAGATTGATACTATTGCAGGATCATATGAGGAGTCACGAAGACGACAAAAAATTTAACTGTATGATGTGTCAAAAGAAATTTCAAGATATGAGGAGTTTGAAGGCCCACATTGCAACACATACCGGACAAAAGTCATATCTATGTAGATTTTGTGGCAATCGTTTTGTTTTTAAAAGCGGCTTAAATACCCATCTAAGAACATGCCACAAGGACCAAAATACTCAGAATAAAAATAGTACTGATTAATGTAGGTAATAACATTAGAGAATTAAGATTAACATTAAATGCTGGCTGTGATTTATATTATTTACTAATTATTTATAATAAAAATATATTGAAGTAACATATAGTTTATTTGTTTTGTGTAAATTATTTTCATCTATCATGTAACTTAATCCTAATATTTTAAGAATGTAACTCTTTTTGAAGAGTCTGTACTATTTTTATATCATAGACTAGACAAAATCCATGTCAAGAGGTTTTAAGACGTTGTACTATCACCACCCCTTCCACTTAAGGCCAATTAACATGATATGCGCAAGGCAAATATGTCGGCGAAGGCAGTGTATTTTTAAATTGTTTACCTTTAACCTGAAAAGCCAGTTGTGGTTTCTCGTTCTGATTGCATACCAGAAATAATTAATTATCTCTAGTTTGTTGTGTTTCTGCAACACGTTTGTTTAGTTCTTAGTGTTCAGTGCATGGTGTGTTTAGAAAATTGTGATAAAATAAGAGTGTAATAGAAATTCAAACCAGATAGGGAACTTTTGTGCTTGTCGTACTCCTGTATTATTAATTATTTTAAGATAAGAACTAGAAGTATTTATCAAGATATTACACCTAAATGAGTAAAAGACCTTCACCGCCAGTCTGCATAGTACTTTATAATGGTACATACCTTATTGTAGCATGCCTTTTACATGCTCTGTTCCAAATTGTGTAAACTATGGTAGGTAAGTGTTTGCAATTGAATATTTAGAGTTTATATTGCTATTTTCTGTCATATATTTCTGGTTATTTCTTTTTCCAATGCTATCTCAAGTTTGAATATTTTAACACTACCTATTTTCTGAGAAAGCAGACCTTTTTATAAAAAGTAACTAACTGATGTTTTCATAAAAGTAATAATACAAAAAATTCCATACTTATGTGGAGAACTTTAGACTCCCTGTATATTAAAAAATTAGTGAAATATTACGTAATCTAACCCGACATTTGTGTGAAAAATGTCTATTTGGAAATAAAACAGGGTTTAAAATACGCGCCAAGTAAAGCACTTCTATCTCCGCCATATTGGAAAAGGTTGAATGGCCTTAAGTGGAGGGGGTGGTGGTACTATACACATTTGAAATTGATTTGAATGTTTATGGATTTGTTTGGGTTTTCTCAGTATATTTTATGTTATGGTTTATTCTTTGATTTACTTTTTAATTGGTCTTATGCAAACAGTACAAATTTGTGGGAACATTGTGTCAGGATTTGATTTTTGCTTTAACAATTTTAATACCTATTAATATTAACATCTATTGACTTAACATCTGTCAACTTAAGCAGTTTTTTAATTGCACGATATGATATTCTATTCTTATTAAGAAAGCTTTATTTTTAAGGGCACTGTTTATATTTACTTAGTAATCGAGATGGTAGATTATTCTTTTATAATTATGGTGCTGTGCAATTGCTAAGTCATTATAATTATTACAGAAATAAAGATGACTTATATTGATGCTAAAATTTATAACAAAATTATTGAATAGGTGCTTAAGAGTCCATTTCACTGGACCAAAAAAGTAGCAAAATAAGCGTTCGGCATTTAACGTTTAATGTAAAACTGGCTAGGTATTTTTACCACAAAAAAAGAAGGACATTAAAGATAAAGGATTATACTATATCCGTATTGTAGCACATTTTTAGACAACTTCTTTATTTTTAAGATTTTAATGGTCAAACATCAACAAAATATTCCTTATGTTTGGACTAAATTTTCCCGAAAATAAAAACATAATTTAAAATTCCGTTATAATACGGAAATAGATTGAAGTTTTGTGATTACAGTGATATATAATTTATATGGTTTTGTAACAAATTGCTCGCTATTTTATGGCAAATGCTGAAGCACTGCAAACCTTAATCAAGCCTTAATCAAAGCACGCGTGTTTGGAATTTTGGGTGTGCTTTAACACGACAGGATAGGGCTAAGCCTTAGGCAGATTTCTGAAATATAATATATATTTCCTTAGGCCACAGATCTGCTTTAACCGACCCCTGAGAGCGACCCGACAGTACAGCGTAATAGATTCTTAAAGAGAGACTAAGTAAAATAAACTGACTTTCAAAATTTTTGATAGATTTAAATTAGGGATATAATAAAATAAAAGAAAATTATTTTATTTAATTTACTTTAATATTATAGAAATACTGATAAGTTTTTTACTTAAAGTAATTGAATATATTATAAATTTGCTTCGAGATTTTTGATATTAACTATGTATTACCTACGAGTTTTAAAACTTACTTAATAACTATTTTCTTTGTAGCTAACTGATATATTTTAAAAATAGGTACATTTATTAACTAAAATATTTACATCCATAATAAACTTAACATCTGACTTACTTAAATTACTTATAATATAGGGATTGATTAATGAGATATACACGGGTAAAAAAAATGTTCAGTTGTTGATGAAATTAATATAGTTTCGTGTTTTTGAACCACGAAACTACTGTATTGAAATATTTCTTCATCCATACAGTGTTGGCTTCTCCTAATTCTATCGCTTGTTGGGCTGTACGAAATGCTACGCCAAATTCTTCTTTATTCCTTTGGAAGAATGACTTGAACTGCAATATTAAAAAAATTAATTATAATTGCAAAAATGTGTAGCAAGTAGTTGGAAGCAGTTGAATAGACAATCCAGTGTTTCGAAAACGCAATATATGAGGTTTCTGGTTAGAGACTTTCCTTGCAATCTTCATTAGAAAATATGCGGACCATGATACATGTTTTTGTCAATATACAGGGAGAGTCAACGTCTCATTAGTTTCGAGGTTTATAAAAAAATATTAAATATAAAAGTTATAGGGAAGGTTAAGATACATACATTTTAAAATTATTACATAATATACAAGTGTGGCGAATATATCATATGTTTTTTTAAATGCAACACCCTAATTTTTATTTTATTTTTAGAGTCTGCGTAAAATTCTATAACTTTTTTATATATACTGTTATATACCTAAAATTAATAGTTTTTGTAATATTTCAATTTGTTTAAACAAAAGTATAATTTCAGTGTGGTAAAACATTGTCAGTAATGCCATTGTTTTTAAAGTTGGTCTACTAAAATTAGGCAAGACAATTTTATAGAGATGAAAAAAAAGATATGTGTAAAGATATTTTAGTTAGATGCTACAGGGTGTTCAAAATATATTTATGAATTTCAACTATTTGAAATTAAAAAAAAAAAAAAAATCGGTCGTATAGTATAATTATATACTTACGTCATTTACTTCTTCTTCTGTGTTGAATTTTGCTGTAGTGGTTGTAATAATACTGCTGAATGAACTTGATGAAGACCCAAGACTGCAAAAAAGAGAAATAATATTTTATTATACGAGGTATCTGTTAAATACGTGCAAATGTAGTATATTTCGATCCCTGGAACATCACCATGAGTTATTTTTGCGAAAAATAATTTGTTTTTGACATTTTCCTGAAAATTTTAGAAATTTTTTTAGTGCCGCAGGTTTATTAAGACGTTATCGTTATCGAATACCATGCAATGTTGCCGTCTCCTACGTTAACGAAAATGTATTCAAAGTATCTCGTTCATCTACCAATCAAAAACTAGCGAAATCGACTGGCTGTTTAGTGAATATTCTGCCTTAATGTCAACATTGCAATTGTAAATAAAATATACTTACTATTTTGTTATTCTTTTCCAGTTAGTTTTTAAGAAGCTGTAAACCAAGTCATGGCCTATAGGATTCTCCGATACGCATGCGAATACTTTTGCTGTGTCATGCTTTCTAATTCCAGAGTCTTCTGTTATTGACCATTCTAAATACCTGTAAAAAATTAATTTATTGCAGAATATTGTGACAGAATATCGTACTCAATACCTGTCAAGATTAGTTGATGATTTAAAAATACATTTTTAGAACTTAATGTAGCATTCTTTCTTATTTAGTTAGTTTTTGGTTAAAGTAAAAATATCAAAATTGTTTTATAATTAGTATGCTAGCACACTATACTAATTTTTTAAATTAAGAAAGTTATAGTATGTTAAACGCAAGACAAAATAAAATGCTAATAGTATACGGTACATATTGATTTACCTGCTTAATATCCAAACCTCCTTAGAGCATGATAATGCTGACAAAATGATTTCCTTATCGCCTTCCACGTTGCTGCTCAAATACATGTTCCAGGCAAAGTCCCATTCTTCTTGACCTCCATCGCTGATTGCTGTGCAGTAGACAGTTTCACGCAAATCTGGGTTGATACTGCATTAAAAAAAATGGTTAGTTGCAAGAAACACAAGGATTCAGCATTCATGAATCCATTGAAACATGATACAAGTTTGATGAAAACTATTTGAAGGAAAATTGGACTAGTTCTAACCTTTTAAACAGATTTGACAAGAAGATCATGAACATGAAAAATTCTACAAGATATTTGATCACACTAACTAGAGATTTGATGAATAAAAATTGACAATGTAAAGTAAAAAAATACTTATTTTTTATACAAGACGATAATGCAATTTTATCGTCGTGTATTAAACAATATTTTTTCCATAGCGAGTTACGTTTTAAAAAATATTCAGAAATTATTATTTCAAGGAATTTATTACGAGTAGAAAAAATAGTGTGCTGGGTTGGCGTTGGTTTCCATGTAATTTGACAAATAAATAAAGCTGACTCTTTAGTTGTCAGTTTTGAGTCAATATTTTTTAATTCTCTTTCGTGTCGATTGCTGATTGAACTGGAGCCAGAAATGGCTCAAAACGAAATAAGTGAACTACCAATAGATATTCAGGCTGAGGCGACAAACGCCATATCCAAAATACTTCCATCTAAATCCCGAATAACTTATGAAAAGGAATACAAAAAATTTCAAAAATGGAAGCAATTAAAAAACGTGCGAGAAGAAATATTGTTTTTAACCTATCCTTGCTGTTAAAGTATCATTTAAAAAAATCATTGCGGTTAAAGTACTATTTTATCTTCTATTTTTGATAGATATAAGGCAATTTTAACAGGTTGCTATGGAAAAAAATAAATAAAAAAGTAAAGTAAAAAAAGTAGTGTCAAAATTTCTTTTGTTTACTTCTTAGATCTTATAAATATAAGATCTAAGGTTTACTTACGTGTTTTCCAGATCTGGATTGGGACTATTTCTCCAATTTTGGAATTGTTGAACGGCTTCTAAAATACAATCTTTATATCCTAAATGACAGGTGTATCTGATGATTTCCATTCGATTTAGGATCATGAGAGGATCTTCGTTATTGGCTTCCTTGAAAGTCAACTCTTTGTAGAAATCAGCGATCAGGGCTGTGACGTAAGCCTAAAAACAAAAAAAACTGTCTTTATGAAAAAAAAGTTCTTTGACTCGGGCTTAAAAACCGACATGACATGAAAGTAGGCATCTCCTATAATAAAAAAACTTTGGAATTTGTTTAAGGACACACCTGAAGTATGTACTTAGCTGTATTTCCGGAAAACATTTTACTTCTACAGGGTGGTTCAAAAAAATAATCTAATCAAACAATCCTACCTTAAATTTGTCAAAATGGCCACTCCTGACGAACATGTTGTAGATGAATTGGAAGTTGGTCAGGGCCGCTTTCCATGGCACGTATTCCTTTTCGAATCTCAAGTACAGGGTCGTATTGAGGGCTATGTCGTAGCTCAGGTAACCTGCCCCTGCCAGTTTGAAGCTGTCGTCTAGGATTTGGGCACGATTTCTAGCGTGAATATGTCGATGACCGTTACCCTGGAGACGGTCCACTATGGCTTTCCAATTTTCCTCGTTATAATTCACTCTAGCGATAAAAAAATTAAAAATTTTTTTAACATGCTGTAATTCTAAAACTAGGCATTTCCATACCCATGTTTATAGGAACTTTTTTTCATATATTTTGATGAGGAATCAATGAGTACTTATTTAAAACTATCGATATTTAATAATATTATTTTTTTTAAAGGTTATTAGACTTGGAAGAAGGCAAATTAATAAAATTGCGTTTATCTCATCAAGGAGGCCGAAATAAACAAAATATCAAGAGACAACTTTTAATCGGCACTAATAGTGTAAGCAGTACACTATTTCGCTAACAAGAGAAAAAAGTCAGTGGCGTACATTCTTTTTTCAGAAAAATATTCTAGTGATAACCCATATGCACGTCCCTGGTAAATATGTCGACACTTTATTAGCTTTAAAATATGTCGCATTTGTAGTAACTTTTACCTTCAAAATTTCATTGGAAAAGATAAAAGTACTTTTGGAAGAAAATTATAATAAATCGAAAAAATATTAAAACTTTAACACCCTCTGTAGCTACGAAACAAAGCAGAATCGGACCTATGTTGATACAAAAAATAAATCTTATTTTTATGTGAGGAATCTCCCCACCAGAGATGGCACATGTTTTTTGAAACACCCTGTAGAGAAATTAATAAAAGTTGGCAAAGTTGGCGTCTTCAAAATATTTGACGAATACATTTTTACTTTGGCTTAAAAAAAAAGTAGAATTATTTAAATAATAGTTTGCAAATTTTGAAACTGATATTAATTAGCTATGGTATGGTATATATTTTGTAAATTAAATATCGCAAGTTTAATAAAAGCTTCAAAATTTAATATTTAATTACTACCCAATTATTTGAGGAATGGACGTATTCCATTTCAGAATGACGTCAAAGGGGAAAATTTAATTGTGACGTAAATTCTGTCAATAATTCTGCCTACCGCTGAAATGTTGGAAGTGTGTGCTGTGCCTGGTAGCCTGACTGATATGAAATTTTGCGGTTTATTGGTTCAAATTAAAATTTGACAATAAAGTCTCGACAATGTAACGAAATAAATTGAAATAAAACGATAAATATCCACAGATTTTAGGCAGATATAACAGAGAAGTAAAAAATAATACAAGTTATTTTTAGTTTCATAAACAGAATAAACAAGACCAAAATAACATTTGGAATCAGGGTGCAAAAAAAATCAATATTTTAAAAAAATTAAAAAGTCGATTTTTTTAATTTTAACCAGATTTTTTTTTATTTTAATCAATTTTCTATTTAAAATCCTATTCTAGATGGCTAAATATTCATAAAATCATTGCATTCAGTCTCCCTATGAAAAACTTTCAAAATTTTTAAAAGGGATCTTAAATAACATAGCACATAAAAACAACTATTATATAAAAGATTCAAAAGATTTTAAAGAAAAAATTAAAAATATAGATATACCAATAGGATATAAATTCATTTCTTTAGATGTAATCTCATTATATACGAGCATTCCAATAAAACTTGCAACAGATATAATTAAAAAGAAATGGAATCAAATTAAAATTCATACAAATATCCCAAAAAATGAATTTATAAACGCAGTTGAACTAACATTAAATTCTACATATTTCTTATATAATAACGACATATACCAGCAAATCGAGGGATGCGCTATGGGAGCATCAATATCAAGTATAATAGCTCAAATTGTAATGGAGGATTTGGAGGAGAGTGTATTGGGTAACTTGAATTTTAAGGTGCCGTTCTTTTATAGATATGTCGATTGACATTATAACTGCTATACGAAAATAAGATAAACAGTATAATAAGCGAATTCAATAAGTATGTCAGAAAATATTAAATTTACTTTAGAAACGGAGGAAAATTCAAAAATAAATTTCTTAGATAATCACCATACACCATAATTCAAGAAAATTGAAAACGGAATGGCATACCAAAAGACATGGTCATCGCGATATTTAAATTTTTTCATCCAATCACCCAATTTCGCAGAAAAAATCAGTAGTTATAGGTTTGGCAGATCGTGCTGCTATACAATTATCCGATCCAGAATTTAGAAAAACAGCTATAAAAAAAGCCAAAGATACTTTAAAAATTAAACAACTTCTACAAAAATTTAGTTAATAAAATATTTAAATCAGAATACATAAATTTTACAACACAAACACTGCAAATGCAAATAAGAGAAAAGGCAAATAATTCATATCTATTCCATACATAAAAGAGTTATCTCAACAACTACAAAAACATTTTAAAAAATACCAAATTAGCATATGTCACCCATTAGCTGCAACCTGTTAAATAAAAATTTCAGTAAAATTAAAAACGAAAACGCCTATATAAACAAAAAAAGTAATATCGTATATCAAATACCATGCAATGATTGTGATACAGTATACATCAGCCAAATGGTCAATATCTGGAAAAATCGAATTAAGACACAAATATGATAAAAAAACCAGACTGCACTGACAAATCATGAAAATAGTAAAGAACATACATTTAATTACAGCCAAACGAAGATTTTGAGAACTGAATCTATGACAAAAAGAGGGAATTCTCGAAATGGTAGAAATACAAAAAAACACCAAATCAATAAACGACAAAAGATGTAAATAGGCTGGAGCAAACTATATGTTTCTATATTATATGTGGATTATTGTATGTAGGTCGTTGTTGGCCTATAGTAAGAATTAAAATATGTTTGAAAATTCGCAACCGTCCTGTTTGTTAAATGTGTTCCGTGATTGTTTTTTATAAAGTTTCTTTCTATGATCTACGTTCTTGGGTAAGTAAAACAAAAATATTTTTATTGTATATTTAATGATTTTTTAAAAATTCGTTTAATGTATAAATTGTAGACTCTGATGAAGGCCAAAAAAAAAATGGTCGAAACGTAAGACGGTATATAAAAAAATAAATGTACTTAATGAAATAAAAGGAAAATTATTACTGACCTAAAACCAAGAGAAAACATATATAAAAATATTCATAACTTTGCCCAATATCGATAATATTAACATTTCTACGGTGCGTTTCTCGTTTTTCCACATCGGTCACCGATATATTTTATTCTGTAAACCTTGCCGATGCCCCAATTTCCTTTAAAAAATCGCTAGCTTAGATCAAATGGATTTTTTGGAAATAGTCATGACTGTCTTAAGTCGAGAATAAAATTAGTACCTATCTAATGTTAAAAGTCGATAGAAATTTGGAATGAACTAGAAGATAAATTAGGGAAGGTAGTTAGCGGGATCAACATTCAGCTGTTTTAAAAAATATATAAAACAGCCTTGATACAAGTATATTTTTTGACATTGATTATAGTCCTCGGGAATAAAAATATAACCTGATATCAGAAGAATCCAGTTCTGCACTAGAGTTTGGGAATGAAATGTATTTGAATAACCGGATTTCTGGCACTGGACAATTTCAAAATAAATCTCTGCCATTTAGAAATCTAATGGGTTCACACAAAATAACTTCAAAATTCGGTCCAACATTTAAATAGATGAATATATATTAAGTAGGTATACAGGTTGTTAACTGCACAGTTACTTATAGGGGAACAGAATGGCAACACTGCCTATTGAGAACGCATGCACTTATAGGGTTTTCTGTCGACTCGTCCCGCTGCGTCGTCTATCGACGAGCGGGCCGAGGTTGCCATATTTCAACCGTTAAAGCTCTTGCCGCTTGTAATAAACAAATTAACAATCTGTATGTATTATAATGTTATATCTTTAACAATTATTTTTCGATTTAGTAAAGTATTTAAGCGTTAACAGCAAGTGTATCTCTGCACTTGATGAATAGATATAGAGTATATTTATTATAGCTTTATAAGAAAAGTTTTTATAACTTTTCTTCGATTTATCATAAGTTTTTAAACAAGTTCCATGATTAAAATCACACAAATCCATGATTAAAATTCAAAAAACCCTTGATTTAAATCAAGTTGATTTAAATAATTGCACCCTAAACAGTAGTCTCAACTTACCAAACTTAAAATTTTCAACTCAAATGTCAAGTCAGTATTTATGTATAGTGCAGAGATCTGGAAAATTACATCGCCGCTAGTTAACAAACTTCAAGTATTCATGAACCGCTGTCTGCAAAAAATTACAGGAATTTTCAGACACTATTCTAAATGGGGATTTATGGAGCTTAACCAACCCGAGGCAAGTGCATAACGAGATGGAGTGGTCACACATGAAGGCGAAGAGGCAACATCGCCGGTGGCAGAGCTATTGAGTGGAAACCACAAGCGTTGATTGAAAGAATTGGTAGTTGATTGAAAGAATTGATAGAAAGAATTTCCTAATGGGCGAATTCGTAACAAAGCTGATTTGATTTCCTCTTACGTCTCAAGTGCTGTACGGTGACACCATTCGTTCTGTGGTCAAAGCATAAAACACATATTTTCTCTAATTCGGCCAGCGAAGGTATATCGAAGACGGTGTGGATCTGAAAGCGACAGTGCTGCCATATTAAAATGTGTAATATCTGTAATACGTTTGACGAAAATATCTTTGGATGAAAAATCCGCGAAAATTTATTCGTGTTAAACATAGAATAAATAACAAAAATAAAATTCTTTTATATGTACTGAATGTTGTATGATCGAAAAAACTCGTTTAGTTGGCTTGGCAATGACGATTATTGACATTTATCATAATATTTTACATATTAAATAACACACAGCGATCCTATTTCCAAGCCATCTCTGACGCTGTTCTTTGTTTAATCATATAATATTATTTTAAATTGTTTAATGATAGAAAATTCGTATTATTAACGTACTGTACCTACCCAAAATCCGTAAATCTACGGATTAATCAGTAGTTCTGGCAACACTGTCTCCCGCAGCCACTCACTCTGCCGACTGAAAGCAGAACTACCGTACAGTATTCTTTATATGCTGCGCTGTAAACGACTATCAGCGCGCAGCAGCGCAGAGCTAAGCTAAATCTCGGAATTCTCGGACAGGCTGACTGTAACGCCAGCTACATCTCGGACAGATTTTGTGCCACAAAATCGCTCAAAAGGTTGTAATCTTCTTATTTCTTCAATCAACGCCACAATACAGTAGAAGAACTGGTAGTCCATGACACATGTGGCGAAGACCAATTAAAAAAGAGATCGAAATAGTAAGCCGATCAAGACGAGATGTTAAATAAATTTCAAACAACCGAATCCGCTGGAGAGTATATACTGAAGCCCTATGCTCCACGTAAGAGACTCCTATTTTTCAATTAAAAACATTCATCCTACAATATAAGAAAATCAGAGAAGAATCTCACTTGGATCAAATATTTTAAATGAAATATCTTCAACATACAGCATTTGTTTAATTTTTTATTTGACATTCTTTTTAAAAAAATTCAAATAAATTACTTTGTTTAAAAGCAATATACCAAAGAACAAAACAGCGCAAAAAATGAAACTTTAGATACCTGTAATATCCATTTTGATGAAGGTTGACTAAATACCATTTATTATCCTGAGACAATGCTTGCTTTATTTCAATTTGTCTTTCGTTTTTCAACCAGGTCTTCTTTGTTTTATTATCGTCATCTACCACTGTTATGGGAACCCACCTAAAATAATCAAATATTAGTTTCAAGATTCTCATCCTATACATCAATAACAGTTATTTTTATCATAGACATGTATAAAAGATAGATTAACCATATACGTTGATTTGTTTTGACATTAAAAAAACTAATTCAGAAAACTTCACATATTCTGCAGAAAGCTCTCAATGTAGAATAAACAGAGACTCACCATAGAGTTTTATCTAATTCATTCTCTTTTCTGTCCAACAAAAATCGTTCCTGGGTTATTTTCAAGTCTCCATTTTTTTCTCTGATTGCTGTGACTACCGGATATCCGGTTTGAAGTGTCCAGGTGTCCATGATTTCTTTGACAGTGACGTTTTCTGGTAATACCTTGAATTCTAAACTTTCTTCTGTTAGTGTGTTCCAGAGATCATCTTGTTCTGCGTTACTGTAAATTCTGAAATAAAATAAAAGTTATTTCAACCATAAAATGCTTTATTTAGTATTTAAAGCAAAATAAAACACTAAATCACCACAATACACCAAAACACTTTTACTTTTACACTGGACGCGTGTTTCACTAACCATGATGCAACTAAAGACGATTAAAATCTAACATGGTTAGTGAAACGCGCATCCAGTGTAAAAGTAAAAGTGTTTTGGTGTATTGTGGTGATTTAGTGTTTTATTTTTCTGTGTAACATCAAAGGTTCCAACCCCCAACTGTAATTAGTAATTGAAATATACCTATTTTTATTTATATGCGCTATTAAAAAAACAATTCCTTTACAGTTTACAGAAAACAAAAAAAATATTAGAAAAATTTATTTATTTTGAAAACTTTCCAATTTTCGGTTTGAACTCTCTGCATAATATAACATTTCATGATTCACACGTTGTACTTTTGAGCAGGAAAGCTTATTTTAAATACTGTTAACTGTGAGACATTCTAACATTTCGTTATGCTACTAAAACATCAACAACGTGGAAGTCTTTTTATCGGGTTAGGAAAATTTGTTTACATTTTAATATTTTTATTATTTCAAAATAAAATATTTTATTAGTATTTATTCTTTCATTTTGTTTATTAATTATATTGATATATTAACTATAAATCGTATTATTTATGCAGAACAGTTTCTTTTTTTTCAATAAAAATTATTTCATACTGACCTGTTCTCCAAATATTTCTTTAAGCCTTTCTGAAACACTTCATTACCTAAGAAAAACTTCATCATTCTTATTATGGATGCTCCTGAAAAAGAAATAATTATACTGCTTTTTTGTTCTTGATTTATTATTGATAAAAATGTACAGAGTGATATGATACATATATTCTCTTTGCCGTTTTTCAAATAGGTCCAAAATAATCGAGTTATTTTACTTTCAAAATAAAAATAAAAGTCAGCTATTGCTTAAATTTTGAGAACAACTGAATATTTCCTGGGCTTTCTTTCTTATAAATTTAATATACTACCTATGTTGCCATATTAACAAGAAATTATGTTTATTTAACTAAAAACAAAAAAAGATGAATTTTTTTGAAAACTTAAATTTTACTCCTAAAAATATTTGTAGTTATTTAAGACTCACCCTGTATATTTAATTCGGAGTATATAATGTCTATGAACACTATATGCATGTCTATGAAATTATATTTTGAAATTATCTAAACTGTTTCTCATGGCTATAACTATTGTATTTCAATTTCTTTTCATTTTTTTATTTGAAAAAATGCAATCTTTCCTACAATACCTTTAGAATATGAAATTTTGTCAAATAAATCTCCAACCTCGTCAGGATTGTTGACTTTCACTGAAATTGGATGCGATGACTTCAAAGCGTCTAAACTTAAAGATTCTTGCAGTTCGTTAACCAAAAACAAGTCCAAGTCTTTCCATTTTGGATTTACCTATAAATGATAATATTGTGCCATACAATACAAGAAAAATAAAGTTTTTTAAATAGTTGTTTTAGACGAAGCTCATAGCCAAAATTTTAAAATTTTGGAAACAAAACACTAAGTTCAAAATGTTAAAACTGTTAGTGTGAACTGGAATACAAGAAAAACATCAACAGGATATAATGAGAATTAAAAAAAACTCAGTTAATAAAAAAATGATAATCACAAAATAAAAAATTATGCAGAGAAAATTCACACTAGCTAAAATATAAAAATAAATAGTAATAAGAATAATGCCATTAACTGTAAAATTAATGTAGGATAAATAGCAATTAGAAATTAGTTAGTTTTAAGCAATTCTTAGCAATAAATAGTTTTTACAAAAAGGACTTACAAAATGGGATCCTAAGTATTCAACGTAGGTAGCAAATCCCTCATTCAGCCAAAGATCTTCCCACCAAACAGGTGTCACTAAGTTGCCAAACCATTGATGAGCTAATTCGTGTGCTACTACGTGAGCTGCTCTTTGCTTATTAAATTTGCTAGATATACCTTCTTCGTAAAGTAGTACGGGTTCTCTAAAATAGAATCGTTGAATTAAACGTGTTAAAAGAAACATATGCGAGTTAACCAATATCTTGTAATTTGTAATAAAACTTCATAATAAAGAATAAATATTTACCTGTACGTAATCAATCCCCAATTCTCCATTGCTCCAGCTGAAAAGTCTGGAATAGCCACCATATCCACCTTGGGAAGTGGATATTTAATTCCAAAAAACATCTCATAGTATTTCAGAATCTTTGGTCCAATTTCTAAACTATAACTATAAAGAGAAATACGTATTGTATCAAATTTGCCATGATTTGTTTAAGTTTGTGTTATTACTTAGCCTGTGCCAATGAGCTTGGTTTAGCCCATATCGAGAAGATCCCTTTACTGATATAATGGAAATCGGATACGACAAATGCCACTAAGTATGTAGACATTTTTAAGGTCTCTTCGTAATGGTCCCAAACATAACCAGGAAGGTCTTTTCTAAAAACATTTTGTTTTTTAAATTTTTATACAAGGTAAATGGTAATCAATACAAAATGTTGTATTTTTTTATAGAATTTATATCATATTTTTTCTATATATATATTTTGTAAAGACTGGTTCACCAATCGTTCACCGTTACGTCATTATTATTTGTCAAAAATATGGGTTTTAGGGTGTGTCTAAGATCAGTTCATATTGTTTAGAAAATTTTAAGTATGTTCCTATATTATTGATTGAACTCTTCATCAGCTACTGCTTGTCCACGTGCGAGAGTGTTCTACCAGCGTGTTTTACTCAAGAAAAATAATTTATAAGCTTAGCAATGAGCTCTTGTTCATTTTGGTTAAATCTTTGGGGCATTTTTGCAATAAAAAGATTGAATTTTGTTTTACAGCAAAAATCAAATTTTAATTTTGACATTAATCGATGTCCGTTAATAAAATTATAACCACAAATCAAATAACAATGACAATTACTAAAAGGAAATTTTGACATTGATCTATGTCCGTCGATAAAATTATAACCCCAAATCAAATGACAATGACAATTACTAAAAAGAACTCTTTCATCTGGTTGGCAAGTGATTGGGAGAGTTCGACAATATATGACGTGATGTTGAACGATGGCTGAACATTCTATACATATATATTTCTGTAAAATATTTAATAAATTAGTACAATAATTTAAGTACAGCAAAACCCTTTCTAAAATATAGGCATCATTAAATTAAATAAAACATGAATTAATGCAAAAAAATTGCCAGAAATTGGAGGAAATAATATACCATTTTCAGATCCCTTCCAGAATAAGTAGTATACTTACACTTCTTCCGTTGTTCCAATTTTTCGCATATTCGATATAGTACTCATATTTTTTAATCTAGCTAAGTTAATTTGAAACTTAGCTTTGAATGCTGGCTCATCAAAGCATGGAAATGCTTTTCTGGCATCTGTAGCTTGAAACTGAGTGGCAGCAAGCCATCTAGAGAAGTTAAAAACATTTAATTATTTAAATATTTGATACATTATGTTATAAAATACCTTCTTGGATTGACATTTAATAAGATTTTCATCATTATAAACAAAGTCAGCCTATGAAGATAATTATAGATACCGGGTGTTTTTGGTTCACCCCTATAACTTTTTTATTTTTCCAGATAAATTAACGAAAGTTGGTATATATACTCTGTTTTTTTTCTCAGGTAAGATTTCGACAGAAGATGACGATGAGATGAAAAAAAAACAGATGACGTCCATACCTATCCATTTATTTAACTAAAAAAAGTTTCTAATATTTTTTTAAGTTAACTATGGATGGGTATAAATCCGTCATGCGTCATCTCTTATTGTTTTTAACCAGTTTTATTGGTTTATTTCAAAAATGACAGATCATATTTCAATATTATTGGTTTGACGGAAAGTTGAACGACAAACGAACGCCGACGCGTGTGAACTCGTCTTAAGATTTTTGAGAGTTGTCAAACTCTTGCCAATTTATAGGTTATAATTTTGTGACAAATTATGTCATATAGAAATGATAAATATTATGCATTTTGCATTTTGGACTGTGTTACTACGTGTGTTTTGTGTTTTTTAAAAATTAAGTGGAGGAAAACTCGAGGGAAAATTAAGTGTTGACCCAGACCATAATTTACAGTTAATATTCGGTGCACAGAGACCGCCAGAGACACAGTTTGCCAGATATTATGGCCAGAGAGATGTATTAGCCACAAATAAAGTTTGTATACTATCTTGTATATGATACCAAAAACTGGAGTGTCTGTAAAATAGCAGCACACAATAGGTAAATAATAATCATATTGAATAATTATATTCATAAATATAACGATAAATGCAGGACGTGGCTTGAGCTTGAAAGCCGGAAGTCTTATTTATATCTTTTTTGGTATATGGTGTTTTTTTTTTAAATAAATCCTTGCTTGTTTTGTATTAACACATACTATAATTGATTTTAATAAAATAACTCGATTAGATTTTCTCAATTTTATACAGTTTTTTTCACAATATTTTGAAGTAATCACTTGTCACTCAAATTTTAAATATATTAATTTTCTGCTATGCGTGTTATTCTTAAATTAGTTTGTTTTATTTATGTTGTTTTATTTATTCCTGCTGAATATTACAAATTTGTATTAGTACATAAGTTATATAAGTTAATTTAAGTTAATAAAGCTTAGTTTCATAAAAAGTTTCATAAAGCTTGAAAGTAAGAAATAGTTCTTTTTTATATTTTTTGGTATGTGGTGTCTTGTTTTTGTTTGTTTTGTAACACATACCGTTTTTTATTAAATAAAATAATTCGATTACATTTTTTCAGTTTTATACAGTTTTTTTCACAATAATTTGAAGTTACTTGTCAGTCAAATTTTAAATACATATATTAATTTCCTGCTATGCGTTCCAGTTGTACCAACTTATTTCTTTGTAAAATAAAATAAACTACTTTGAAATTAAAATGACAGACACATCTATCACTGTCAAGGATCTTCTCATTGGACAGACTTATACTAAAAGGAAATTTTGACATTGATCTCTGTCCGTCAATAAAATTATAACCCCAAATCAAATGACAATGATAATAATTACTAAAAATAATATGCAGTAATTTACGAAATGCCGTAATGACGTCACCAATCTCTTTCATCTAGTTGGCAAGTGACTGAGAGAGTTCGACAATATATGACGTGACGCTGAACGATGGCCTAACCTAACATTCTATACAATATGTTTCTGTATAATATTTAATAAGTTAGTACAATAATTTAAGTACAGCAAAACCCTTTCTAAAAGATAGGCAACATCTTAGGGCAACATTAAATTAAATACAAAAAGTATTAATGCAAAAAAAATTTCAGAAAAGGGAGGAAATTATAATATACTATATTTTCAGATCCCCAAAAGGGCACCAACTAATAATAATTATACTTTTCCAAGATAATTAGTGTACTTACACTTCTTCAGTTGTTCCAATTTTTCGCATATTCGATATAGTGCTCATATTGTTTAGTCTAGCTAAGTTAATTTGAAACTTAGCTTTGAATGCTGGCTCATCGAAACATGGAAAGGCTTTTCTGGCATCTGTAGCTTGGAACTGAGTGGCAGCAAGCCATCTAGATAAGTTAAAAACTTTATTATATTAGTCTTTCAAACATTATGCTATAAAATACCTTCTTGGATTGATATTTAATTTTACACAATATTTTCATCCTTATAAACAAAGTCAGCCTAAGAAGTTATTTATAGATGTCGGGTGTTTTTCGAAAGTGGTTCACCCCTATAACTTTTTTATTTTTTCTGGAAATGACTACATCTTTTGATTTTTATATTGTACTCTCGTATTTTTTACTTTATTTGACAGAAAATGACATTCTGAATAAAATGACGTATCATATGTCAACTTTTGACATTAACATAACATTAACATAACATACGTAAAATTTAAAAATAATTTGGGCTTTTTGGTTTTACCTTATTAAGTAATTGTTATCAGGCAGTAATTGATAATTTTGAAGTTTAACTTGATATAATGTCATTTTAACAGAACGTCAACAGTTTTGTGTAGACGTATCTGTTTTAAAAAAGTAAAGTGTTCTCGAATAGTTGAATTTAAATATTTTAAATAGTTTTTTTCTTTATTCTTTGTATTTTTTTTGCTTCCGACGACGGAAAGAGATAAACTTTCCTAAACGTTAAGCATTTTTTTCTTTGTTAGGCAAATTTGTATAACTGTAAACATAACTTCTGACAAGCAGTGTCCGTTTAGGTTTAACGCCAGAAGTGTTTACAAAAATAACTATTTTATTTTGTAGATTTTCTTGCAGTGCAGTGGCAAAATACCCGTAAAGGATTTTTTTTGGAGAAACATATCATTCTATTGAGAGTGTCATTTTCAACCATATAAAGTAAAAAAATACAGAGGGTACCATTTAAAAATCAAAATTTGTAGTTTTGCCGATTTATGTCATAAAACATTTTTTATCTGAAAAAATAAAAAAGTTATAGAGACGAGCCACTTTTTAAATACACCCGGTATACACTCAAACAAGCCTTTTTTACATTAGTTTCTCACCTGGTTACATTATTTTCCACATAACTACTTCTGTAGAATCCTTCAAGCATGTCATTTAGTATTCCCTTGAACACGATATGAACATAGTATTGCTGACCCTGATCTAAATCTTCATCTAAATCTATCACCAAAAACTCTTTTGCTTCTACTGTTCTGACATCTTTAACAGATACGCTCTCATTTTTAACATTCATAACTCCAACGTTTTCTATTTTCAACGTATCTGCGTGTAGAGTAATATTATCAGTAGAATTGAGTACTTTAATCCGAATAGTAACCTCCCCGTTAAATGTAAAATTCCCTTCCTGAATAAACGGTACCAGATGAAGAGTATAGTACTCAGGAACAATGCTTTTTGGTAACCGAATATCCGTATCTTGAGAAGCTTTTGTTGAAGATGGTTCTGTTAGTGGTTTTCTTGTTGAAGTTGGAGTTGTGGTTAATAATACTGTAGGAGAAACATACTCAGGTTCACTATACACTTTTTTAACACTGTCTTTCCGGTTTGGTTCGCATAAAACACTAGTGTTGTCTGTCACTTTGAGCGCTTCACTCTCGAGAGACACTGTATCGTTCGTGGAACACGTTGACGAGAAGCTGTACACTAGCAGTCCGGTTGCTATGAGGCAGATGAAGAATATCACTACGAGAATTATGGCTAGTGTTTTGGACACTGTGACGAAGGTGGTACGGCCGTATTTGGTGGTGACCGCGTCCATCATGGAGAGGTTCTCGTGGTGATTGTGAGTCATTTTTGTAGATTAGGCCTTGAGGTTGTTTTTGATCTGTAAAACATGAAAATATTTTACTTAATGGCATTAAATATTAAAAAGTATTTTTTACAGAATATAGAAGATACTGCTCTTATCGAATTCGTATAATGACAATAATTGAATCAATAAATGTTATTAAAAAATTGCTAAATATAACTACGCTCCAATATTAACCTACAAATATTTAAAATTTAAAAATGGCATGTGCAATTTTTTGCTTATAGTCCAAAAAATCAGTTTTTCGCAAATATCTGCCAAAATATGCAATTTACATATTTTTTAAATAAGCACTGTTCATTAAAATGTTGTATCCTATGTTATAGGGCCCTGTTTCTCTCTACAATTTCCTGTCTCACAATGTACCGTTTGTGTTGGGGAAGGGCTCATAGTTTCATAGTTGTCGATTTTCGAAAGAAATCGGTACATGTATATTATTTCGTATATTTTTCATTTTATTGATTTTATGGAAAGCACTGTTCATTAAAATGTTGTATCCTATGTTATAGGGCTTGTTTGACCACATTGTTGAACATTGTTCCACCACTTCAAAAAATTCTAAAAAAAAATCCTGAGTGTAAAGGAGTATAAAAGACATTTTCTAACGATTTTTAGTGAGTAACATATTTCACGAAGGTTAAAAAATGAAAAATAAAACACTAAATCACCACAATACACCAAAACACTTTTACTTTTACACTGAGGTAGGTATAGGTTAATGATTTCTGAAAATTCGACTTTTCAAGTGGAGAAAGATACTTCAAAATATTTTTCAATACCGTTTGATTAGACAGTTATCCCGTGGTCTAAAAGGAATTTTTAAAAATGTCAATTCTAAACTTGTGTATAGTGCTAATAATAAATTACAACAATTATTAGGTAATCCAAAGTATAAAACACCTCTACTGAAAAGGTTATGAAATTTCTTCTAAAGATTGTAATCAGAAATATGTTGGGCAAACTAGGAGATCAATATTAACTAGATTTAAAGAACATTTAGCTCAGATAAGATATGGTAGACCGGATAAATCTTGCGTTGCCGAACATATTGTTGATGAAGAACATTGTATAGATCTTAATAACTTGAAATTAATTAAACAAGTCTCAAATTACAGGCAATTAGATGCATATGAAAGCATCAGAATTAATAAATGTAAAGATAGTATGAACAGAGACAAAGGTCCAATTCGTTCAAGTTCTTTGTTCCTACTACTCTAGTGGCGGAAATCTAACTGTTACGCTCGGTCGGTTCTGACTCGGTTGGCTAGATCTTGCCACGCCCACTCTGTGCCCACTGAGCGAGTATATAAACGCTCCAATTGTAGATTGTATTTTAGTTTATAATCATCTGCTGATGATGCTAACTAATGAGGTTAGCGAAACGCGCGTCAACAGTGTGAAAGTAAAAGTGTTTTGGTGTATTGTGGTGATTTAGTGTTTTATTCTCCTGTGTAACACCAAAGGTTCAAACCCTCAACTGTAATAAAAAATGAAGATTTTAATTTTCTTTCTTCCGCTAAAAATCGGCTTTTTGTTTAAGAATCGTGATCATATTATTTTTTCATGTCTTAGACTTCTAAAAATTATTATTAATTACTTTTGAATTCTACTATAAAAATAAAATTGAAAAAACAGTTTTTTTCTGAAAATCTTTAAAACCGTTTGAGTTAAAGAGCTAAAAATTTAGGTGAATTATTTTGATTCCACACCAAATCGATCTCTTAATCCGGCTATACCCTTTGCTAACAGGAAACTAAAATTTAATTTACACTACTTAGTAGTAAGTTCATAAATTTATTATTTATGATAGGAACTATCAAATATTTGATTTAGTTTACCTTTAAAATTCTTGTTATAAGATATATACAAACTTATGGAATCAACTCTGGGCATCCTTCCGTTTCAGAAACCTTTTATTACCTTTATGGTTGAGTAGCTTCCTCTTTACCGAATATTATTTATACTCTATACCCCTTATCCGCGTATCGAGTTTCGGCTCTAGTAAACCTTTTGTGTCGATAAACCTCGATGAAAGGCTTGTTCCATCAAAGCGCAATACGGCAATCAATCAAAAATGAGATGTTGTAGATAAGTAAACCACATACAGGATGATTCAGGCTTTCGAAAAAGCTCTATATTTGGTTTTTGGTTTGTGAATTTCATTTCAATTTTTTTACGTAATACGGGAGCAAAGGTAACGTACATTTTAAAAATATTTTTGTCAACATACAGGGTGATTCAAATATATTGTCAAAGCAAAGTTGTATATTTTTAAACGGAATACTATACAGGGTGGTCCGAACTGTATTCCGGAAACTTCGGGAGCATATTCTGCGGATAAAAATAAGTAAAAAAGTTCGTATAAATGTATGTCCTAAAATGCTTAGTTTCGGAGATAGAGGGTGTACAAGTTTAATTTTTATTTCGATTTTTTTCAAGTAACTTCTGAACTAACATCGATATTTGGATGAAAATTGGTGTCTGGGAGTTTTTTGACATGAGAAATTTGATTTTGATGTCAATATGACTCCTACTGGTAGAGGGCGCCATCTACATATTTTAACTGGTTTGAACTTTGAATAAGAAGACTAAGGAAGGAGCATATCAAAAATCTTAGGTACACCGCGATGGGCCTCAAATATGGCCGACTTAAATTCCGGTTTATCAGTGCCGTTCTAATTTTATTTAAAAAGTGTAAAACTATGATGTAGGGTAGACGTGGGGTAGACTCAATAATTTGTTACTTTATTTTACGTTGTGAATAAATGTTGGTAGTTATTAAAATTGTTACAAAAATATATAATTCTAATAAAAATAGATAAGTTATAATAAGTATCTATTAACACAAACATCCGATACGCTACTGAAGTAGGTAAATCAAATTAACGTATCAAAATTCTTTGAAATCTGATCTTTGACAAGTAGTAAATAAAAGCTAAAATGCAAGAAAATATATAATTTAGTTAATTTAAGTGAATTTCATAAATGATAGGTTTACTACACGTATGTATGTATATTATATAGTCACTTACTAGCGAAAAGTTGTTCCATTATTTCACTCAATTTTTGCCGAGATCTACCGCACGCTACACAACCAACTATTTTAGAGTCTTTTTCGATAAATCGCGATAATGTCACTGTTAATTTAAGTTCTGCCACAATTTCCATCTAGATTTACTACCTTTATACAACTATCAGTAGTAGAATAAATAATAAATAACATAAAATAAGCTCCGTAAAGACTGACAAATCCACAAAATTTCAAATCAAATTCAAATGTGTCAAATGAATCGTCAAACAAAACTGTCAAGGATCCCCACCCTAGAGAGCTTTTTCCGCCCACCATGCATGAATACATGGATAGCATTATGCTCCTTCCTTAGTCTTCTTATTCAAAGGGTTTGAAGAGTAATAACTTTTCGTCCATACCTATATAAAACTACTGAGTAAAAAATATACATTTACAACGTTTTTTACAAAAGGTATTTTCTTAAAAATCGCTACGAGTAATGGTTCTCGAGATATTTGGAAGAGAAATTATCAATACTTGACATCATTGACATAAATTAAACATGTTAACTAAATAGTTATTAGACTGAAATCATAAATTTGAAATGTTTTTGTGCCAAAAGTTTAACAGAAACTGTTTTATTATAAAAAAAGTTCCCAAATCAATCATTTTATTCAAATAGCTCTCTACTCAACGTGTTTATTTTTTGTCAATAATGACATGTATTGACTATTTCCATTCTAAATATCTTGAGAATGGTGATTTTTATCAAGAGACATTTTTTACGTAAAAAATCACGGAAATGTATATTTTTTCGCTCAGTAGTTTTATACAGGTACGGACGAAAATCTCTTAGTCTTCAAAACAGTTAAAACACATGTAGGTGACGCCGCCTACAAATAGGAGTCATATTCACATCAAAATCAAATTTCTCATGTCAAAAAACTCCCAGATACCAATTTTCATCAAAATATTGATGTTACTTCAGAAACTATTTGGATAAAATCGAAATAAAGATAAAATTTCTACACCCTGTATCTCCGAAACTAAGCAAAGGTGTACGCGCACTGAATCGGTACCAGTCCGGCGAGAAACAGCGAAGGCGGTGACTCGACTATCGTAGATAGGTAGAGTTAGGAATCTGGCCTCTACAGGCCGAAATGTTTTAGTGGACGCCAGCGCCGTCTATATGTACGATGGTCGCAGTCGCTTTTGCTGGTCGGTCCGATCTTGGTCCGATCCGATGCAGTGCGCGCCCAGCTTTTATAGAACATACAGTTATACGAACATTTTTACTTTTTTTTATCTGCAGAATATGCTGGCGAAGTTTCCGGAATACATTTCGGACCACCCTGTATATTTTTTTAACTCAGTTAATTTGCCACTAAATTTCCGTTCTAAAAATACCGAGAAAAATACCATAATATCACATACTATTCCGAATGGTTTTTTTAAATATAACCGTTTTAAAACTAAATTTACTGTTTATTTAAAGTCCTCTTAAAATACTAAATTCGAAGAATTTTTAAAAATTTTAACAGGTAGTTAAGTACTGTTACGTTGATAAATACTGTAAATAGTGCCTTCTTCAAAATTCGGCCTACCAAAATTTGTAATCTTTTTTTATATATACAGGGATGTCAATATTAAATGTTGTATTTTTCTCCACTGTTTTAAATGGAACACATCTTATGTTTTGTATTATAATCGAACAAATTTTTGTTTAATATTTTTGTTTTATTAAACACTTCCTATACCTAAATTCCATTTTTAATGAGAAAATTCTGTTTTTTTTAAATATAAGATAATATCTGACTTTCGCTCTTTCTTGAAAATAATACCGGTTGTTAGGCATCAATCGATATGTTTTGAGATTGACTGACGCATACAAAGCTTCTATCCAAATCAATCATTACCGATTAAAACTATTTAATTACAATGTAGGGGAACGCCTTTCTGAATCAATCGTTTAAAGGTCCCTCTTTTAAACTATTCAATACATAAG